TCATATTCCATTTTTTCTTCTTCTCCTTCAATAAATGGAATTAAATTATCAAAGATATCAAGTGATGATACACCAGGGTATCCTGCTCCAGAAATTGCTTGCATTGTATGCACAACAACTGATTCCAATGGTCCAAATGCATCTTGTAATGGTTTTAAGGCAACAACAAGACCAGTTGTTGAACAATTGGCATTTGTAACCAGAAAGCCTTTGCTTAAAGAATGTACCATTCTTTGATGAGGAATTAATCCAAGATGAGATGGATTAACAGTGGGAACTATTAATGGTACAACAGGATCTCTACAATAATTCTTTGCATTAGAGAAAATCACTAAATCTGCTTTTAAAAATTTCATCTCTAATGTTTGGAAAAAAATAAAAAATAAGACCAATAAAGATAATAGTAATAAATTGTTATTTATTTATTCATTTATATGTTTTTATGTTATATTACATTATAATAAACAAACCAACCATAATAATTAATTACCAATGTCACCAGCTACATCAGAATCCAACCCAGAAAATATAATATCACAATCACCAAATAGTTCAGGTTCACATACTTTTATAATAATATCTTTAACCTTTAAAGGTATGGGAGTAGTCATTTTCCATTTTGTTGCTTTAGAATATTTTTTTCCCGCTGAACGAGAAGAAGCACCAAGGGAATGAATAATAAAAGTTTTATGAGTTGATAAAAGACTAATAAATCTTTGACCAAGAGTTCCTGTTGCACCTAATATTCCAACTTTATAAGTGGCATTCGAAGTCATTATTAATTATATGAAAAATTCAAGGAAAATTTTTCTACATCTATTAATCACTGCCCTCAAAATCGAATATCATTTCTTAATTAGGATAAATTTTGTGTTGATCTTGTAACTCATTTCCAAAAATGGTAATAAAGTGGGTATTTTTTCAAATGTACCATCTCCTAAGATTGTTCGGGGTCCTACTAATATAATAATAATAAGTAATAGATTATCTCAACAAATTTGTGATACATCTATATAAGAACACCATTGGTCGAGCTTAACAAGAAGTGTTCTTGTACAGAAGCACCTACGATATTATAATATCAATGCATGCTGTCACTATAGAGAGGTTTTCAATTTCATTCAACTTTATTAAATGATAATAAATTAAAAGCCTTTTTATATTGAAATAGTATTAATAAATGATAATATAATTATCAATTTTTGTTTTGTACTTTAGATCAATTAATTTCCCATAGTAAGAAAAATATTTCCAATTTATCTATACCATTATTATATATGGGGCATGCCCCAACAAAACCAGACAAAGTGAACATTGGTATTAGTATTACCATGAATTTCAGGGTTTAAACATGTTACCATTTATTATTCAACACTTTCCCACATTAAAATAATTTGGTAACAATTATAAAAAAAAAAATAATAAAATGATAAATTTAAAATTTAAAAATTTAGATTTTTTGTTACTTTAATTTTTTGTTACTTTAATTTTTTATTCAATTTTCAAGAAATAAGAGTCTTATTTAAGATCCTTATAAGCTTTCACCCATTAACTTTAATTCATTAAAAAGTATTAGCAAGTAATGATTAGGGTTGTTAATGGAACATAGTGGGTTGGGTTGGGTTCATATTATTGTGGAGCAAGGGTTAACCCAACCCAACCCGGGTTAAAATGTACTGGGTTAATACTCCATGGGTTGCTCCGGAGTAATAATTATAATTATAATTCTCATTTAAATTATAATAATTTTAAAGCTTGCATAATAATATCAAATATAATT